AGTGATGTGAACCTATGACACGCGTGTCAGAGGTGACATGCGAACTCATTTTTTGGGTTGATTTTTGTTTGTTAAATGGCATTTAAATATATAAAACAAATATCAAAAATATAAGTCTTTGTTTTACTGTGGTTGCAAAGATCAAGAAATTTCTATATGTGACACGGCACCAGAGTTAATTTAGGGTTTTTCAAAATGCTGACACGCCGAGCTCAAAAGGTTCGCCATCACTGGAATAGGGCATTGCTGGGAGAAGCCTCACTACAGAATATAGAGAAAAGATCAGGTCAAGGTCACTGCTTTAACCTCACCCCAGCCCAAGCCAGTACAGGACAGAACGGTATTCTAAATAAAGGAAAAAGTGCTAGGAATTGGCTACACCACTTACACCACTCTCCCAGCAACAGCAACAAAAATCTGGTGGGATCTAGCCTGTCCTGGGCTGGGGTGTAGGGGAGAGAATGAAGAAACGCGGAGGTGCAAGCAATGTTGAGATGGGGAAGGTTTGAGGAATGGAGAAGGAGGAAGAGGGGGGAGACAGCCTCCATTGTGGCAGGAAATCCAAGAGTAATTTGGGACCACCCAGGCAGCAGTGGTGTGGGTGGGGATGTGTGTATGTGCGTGTATGCACATGTGTGTCCTGGGGCTGGGGGCAGGCAGGCACGCATAAACATTGCCCTCAACCCCAGGCTGGCCTGGAGTGTGTATGTGTGTGAGTCTGCAGAGGGCTGGGGTGGGGTGGGGATGGGTGTGGGAGCCAGGCAGGCAGGCAGGCAGGCTCCAAGAAACATCTGCTCTGGATCCCAGAGCTTGCCAGCATTTGAAGTAACTCGAGAGTGTGAGACTCTAACCTAGGCCCTGCCCTTGGGTGTGGGCCAGGGCTGGGGGAGGTTTGGGGAACCTACAAATGCAAATTTTTAGGCAAGAACAGAAGGGAGTTTGACTCTGTTAAAGGGCTGCCATATGAAAGCAGGCCCCGGGAAAGGAGATAGTTATGGCAAAATTATTACTAAGAAACAATTTTAATCTAATACTTCCATGAGGAAGTGAGGATTTGGTCTCCAGGAAGTGCAGATTGACTAATGGTTGCAGGGGGCTGGAGGCCTGGGGCCTGGGACCACTCCCTGGAGCCTAGTCAGCCCCCAGCTCTAACTGCTGGTCTCCAGGTCAGATGGGATCTTTCCTTGCCTTCTCTTGTACAACATAATCATATTCTGTGTTGTATTATATTCCAGTACATGTTTTACTTTGCTACTAAAAGATGGGTCTTTTAAAGAAAATTGCCTCTGCAAATCCTGCCATGCAGTTCAAAAATACACATAAAAGGCGGGCAATGAAAGCTAGACACACACTCACAGATGACTATTCTATATACGTATTCACAGACCCCACCAGATGTCCACTACGGGTGTGGGCGGGAGCAGTGCTGCCAGGTGCCGGGGCTCCGGCGGGCAGGTGTCCCCTCCAGACCCAGAGCCAAGTCCACTAGAACTCAGTACCAGCTCCCCACTCTGTTCTTCTTTTTTAAAAATTGATTTCAGAGAGGAAGGGAGAGGGACAGAGAAATAGAAACATCAATGATGACAGAATCATTGATGGGCTGCCTCCTGCATGCCCCCTACTGGGGACCGATCCGGCAACCTGGGCATTGGAAATGGCCAGGAAACGGAACCCTGCACGACCCCTTGGTTCCCAGGTCAAGGCTCAACCGGTGAGTCACCTGGGCCAGGCCTCACTCTGTTCTTGTCTGGGGCTCACCATACCCCAGGAGCTCAGTGTCTACAACTCACCTTCCACCCAGAGCTGTTCTAGGTCTGTCTCAATGATGGCCACACGGAGGCCCAGTGCCAGGGCCCCGAAGGCCAGCAGTCCCAGGAAGAGCACTTTGCCACAGTGTCTCTGGATCCTGCAGCCCAGCGAGAAGAGCAGGCCCTGGAAGTAAGCACGAAGCCAGAGCGGCGCCTTCAGGCTCCCAGCTAGGATCTGGGATGGGAAGAGAAGGGTCAGTCGGCATTACTGCAACAAGGCACAGAATCCTTCCCTTTCCTCCCTATGTGCACCCTCTGCCGAGCCCTAGCTTCTTGGTTTCTGGGTGCAGGACAGGGTGGACCTACACAGTCACAGGGCCAAACACGGAGTAAGACTGAACTCCATTTCCTGTTCTCCTACCCAATACACACTGAGGAAGGCAGAGCCCTGTTTTCTGAGAGTAGGATACATATATACACACCTGTTCTCAGGTAGAAAGGGGTGAAGCCACAGACACTCTCACTGGCCAAAGACACACACACACCCCTTACCCAGGCAGGCAGTAACACAAGGCACTTAGAGACGCCCCACCTTGCACTGACCTGAGTGCCAGACCCGGGGGTCCCAATCTTCCTTTCCCGGCTTCCCCTCCACTCACCTGGGGCGCTGCGGATCCAGCTGGTGGGGTGTAGTCCGGAGGCAGTTCCCCGAGGGGTGGCCGCCGAGCCATGCTGGCGGGAGTGGGGGGGCTGGGCGCCCCCAGCCCGCGTTATCTGGGAGCCCCCATAGGCTGGTCCGATCCCCCTGTACCGCTCGGGCGCGGGGCGTGGGAGAGGGTCGGGGGCAGGCGCGCCGCGGGGGCCGTGACCCAGAGGCGTGCGAGGCGGACTGAGTCCCGCGTGCCCGCAGAGCTACAGCCCGCGACGCCCGCGCGGCTCGAGGTGGCGACCGCAGTGCCGAGGAAGCGTCTGTAGCCCCAGAAAAAGGGCGAGGGCAGGGGCGACGCTCTCCCATTGGCTGAGGGGCCGGCAAATTACCCAGATCCGCGCGGCCCGGATCTGCTGCTAGGCAACGGCGCCGCGGGGGGTAGCGCAGGAGACCACCCAGGCAGGGCCACCCCTCGCCTGGCCTCGCCTCTCCGCCTGCCCCGGGGGCCCTGGGGAGGAGGAGGGAGGGAGATCCCGGAGAGCGAGGCGCTGGCCAAGTACAGGAGGGAAAGGCCGAGGCTGAGAAAGGCAAGACACAAACCCTTCTTTCCACACTTCTCTGTCTCCAGTCTTGCCCCATTCAGTCCCCTCTTTGCACCGTGAGGCCAGTCATCTCTCTCAAAAGCAAGTCTTACTCCAAAACACAAAGCCCACTTGGAGCACAGCGCTCAGCATTCTAGCCGTTTCTCCTCCCATCGTCTCTTCACACCCATCCCGTGTTTCTTCCAGCCCCCCAGAGCCACATGGAATTTCCTAAAAGCACCGCCTTGCGTTGCTGCCTTTGTACATGTCGTGGCAGACAACCTTCAAAACTGAACATGCATCAGTCACCTCTCTTTGAAGCTTTCCTCGATTCCCCCCTCCCTCCGACAGTTTGCTTCTCTCTTTGCACTCCTTACAGCACTCAACTTACGTATTTATTATTGCATTTGTGATAATTTATGTACTTGAAAGTCTGCCTCCCTCACAAGACGATAAGTAGGTGTTCAATAATTGTTGAGTCACTGAGAGTTGCGGAAATCAGGGTGGAAAGGCCTGGAAACAGGAAATAGTCCCTTTATTAAACTTTCATCAACTATCCCATCTGAGCGTGCTGTTCCTGCCAGGTTCCTGACTCGATTAACCATGACTGCAGAGGAGGGTAAAATCAATATTCTAAAGTTTGGGAAAAAGAATCTCCAATAAATTCATTACTCAAACACAATTACTACTATCTCCGGCCAATTTCTTGGTCGGTTCTTCTAGACTTGTTTATCATTACATCATAAATATATTTGGTGTGACTACATAGTCTTTGTATCAACCATTTGGAGACGGTCCTTAGGACAGATTCCCAGAAGTGGGGGTGTTGGGGTTGGGTCTTGTTACAGATTGCCAAACTGCTTTCTGAAAACTTGTGTCCATTACCATCAGCTCCAGAGCCTGGGGAAGGGAATCTTTAGGCTGAGGGGGTGAACAGCTAACAGGTTTGCGGCTTCCACTGGTCCATTCATGTAGCAAAATGCCTATGGCACATTTTGATGCTATTGGCCAAGTAGTAACTACACATTAAAAGCAGCATATGTTCATAGCACTTTCTTCCTCCCTGTCATGCAGCAGTGAGTGGGTCCTGTTCTGGATAAAAATAGTATGCCCTGAGCCATTCTCCGGAAATGGAAACAGCCCCTGAAGGATGGGCCTCTACGTTGTTCATGGGCTACAGCCAAAGACGGGTATGGCTGGGTGTCATCAGGACTGCAAGTGGAGAAAATTTGCTGTAAGTAGCTCTTGAGACCTCCTTCCTTCTCATCAGACTCTGCAAGACATAAGGTCCATGGAGAGAGATTTGTAATTGCCTGGGCCTTGGGACTCTGCTTCCACAGCAGGCCCGCCATTGCTAACAACGGTGGCGAAGGCCAGCATGGTTATGGGTGCTCCCAGGGTAGGGCCTACCTGGTGAGGAAACGTTTTGCCTTGTAGTTCAAAGACCAGAGTGGGAGAAATTGGTTTGGAGTTCCAACCATTCGCACCCAGAGCCTAGAGCTCTCTGGCTTCCGAAATGACTTTCTTCTCCCCAACCAAGTGATTTCCTGAGTGCAGCAGAGCTCAGCCAGGGCGAGCTGAAGCACAGACCCCGGGGAACAGGAAGGGAAGTAGAAGCGCACTTCTCTCTAAAAGCAGCCCGCTTCCCCGTGGAACAGCCTGGGTCACTGTCACTTCTACTGGACCTAGGCATGGGTTCTGGGCTCAAACTGAAGAAGTTGTGCCAAGAATAACAAGAGAAAAGCAACCTAATTAAATTCATTATTACCACAGAATGGATCCAATTACTGATTAATGAGACCAACATCCCTCAGGGTTTCTTATGTGTCCTTTGCTAAACTCGGGGGTTGCAGAGTACCTGCTTTTTGGATGTTCATAGCGTAAGGGGGAGCTGGAATCCTCAGGGAGGTTTCCAGGAGTGAGGAACTGGATCACAAGTGGGAGGATGACTGGATCTAAAGGAAGGGGTCATTCAAGGTCTGAATCTTCAACTTACTGGCTGTGAATACTGGGTAAGTCACATAATCTTTGACATTGACATAAGGATTAAATGAGGTAATATATATGGCCAGGAAATGGGAGCACTCTCTCTCTCTTTATCACACACACACACACACACACACACACACACACACACACACACAGGTTGAGTGAAGTGTGGCTTCAGGGTAGGGTCCATGTGGGAGAAGCCAGGGCAGGCCTCTCTCCGTGGCACTCCCCCAAGGTTCTCACTCACTAGCTGTGGGCTGGCTTCTGTTATCTGGGCCAGGCAGAGTCAATGACCTTGAGGTGTGGAGCGGCCTGGCAATCCCCACTGACACCCATTACGTTTAGAGGCCAAGTCTGGGAATGTATGCCCCTTCCCAGTTGGTAGCTTTTGGTCAATTGTACCTGTCAAGTCTCTAGTGCCAGAGGCTGCAACCAGAGATCAGAGAATGCCTTTCATCTTGAGGGTGGGGGAAGGAGAGAGGCGAAGAATCCAAGGAGAATCTGCCCATTTATCCATGGCAGAAAAGCCATGATGCAATCCTTCTGGGTGGTGGCAGACGGCTCAGGTCAAGGACAGGTCATCTGGCCTCCAGGAGAATGTGTTCTCCTGCCCAGCCTTTCCCTGTCAGCTCCCTCATAGCTGAGCTTTCTAGACCTTCTATCTGGGTGGCCCTTCCCACACTCCTCTCCCCCTTCCTCAAACACATTTAACTATTTAGAATGCAGTATACAAAGGCCTGGCTTATGTACCTCCTTAGGGGTAGGGATGGCTATGAATAAAAAAAGTATGCTCTCTGCAAATAGAAACAGTTTATAAACTCGGCTGTGCAGGCCCCTGGATCGCTCTTGGGGCTCCAGGTAGAGACAACCCCTCCCGCCCCATTCCCCCCTCCCCAACCCCCATGGATGGGATTGCAAAAGGAAGAATAATGTGGGGAAGGACTGGGAAGTGTAGCCTTGGTCTTGGAGGGCAACCTTGGCAGTCAATTCCCTTACAGGCTCAGGGAGCTCTTGCCAGCAGGTGAGGGGACAGTGGAGGAGAAATTCCTGGAGTGGTAGCCATCCATCAAATTTTGTCTGACCTGGCAGGGTCCCAGAGCCCTGTTCCTCCACATCTTCCCAAACCTCCCTGATTTGGCACAGAAGGCCGTTTTCTTCCAGTTCCCGCAGGGAGCATCGCTGGGAGAGGCAGGGCAGATCCTATCAACGCTTCCTGCCTGGCTCCCCTGGCTTCTGTCCCACGGAGAGGTGGCTGGCCCGTGGACATTCAGTTGTGCACTATATCTCAGACACACTCAAACTCTCTGTAGCTGCTGCCAAAAAGAAACAAAAACTGTCCCTGCCTTCCGGCAGACAAATAGAGCAAAGAGAAGAGAAATCAAAGCATCTTGGGCACCCGGCCAGTCCTGGAGTTACAGGGACAATAGCAGCAGTGTCCTGAGCCGGGGGCTGCTCCCACCTGGGACTCAAACTCAGCAAGGCCTTCCCCTGGGGAGTCCTTGCCTAGTCTGTTTCCTGGAGTTGGGGCTGTTCATGTGCTCAAGGGAAGGCGGAGGAGAGGTTTTTCCTCCGACTGTCAGGGCTTCCAAGGGCTCAGTGGGGAAGATTGGGAAGGATCTGGGACAGTTCAATCAATCCCTTCTCCTTCCCCACCCACCCTCCCTCCAGACCACCCCAGCTCTGTCCGTTTTTTGTGATCAAGGAGCAGCCTTCTGGCCTCTCGGACCACCCAGACCTCAAGGGTCAGAAAGCTCTGAGAGGTGACAAAACCAGAGAAAGGGCCTTCAAGTTACCTAGTCCAGCCCTGGACAGTGGTCAGAGCACGGCCCGTGCACCAAAGGGTCGTGGGTTTGCTTCCCGGTCAAGGGTGTTCAAGAGTCAGGGCATGCTCCTCCCTTCTGCTCTCTATGAAAATCAATAGGAAAAATATCCTCAGGTGAGGATTAACAACAAAATATTACCCAGTCCAACCTTCCCAGTTTGCAGATGGGGAAACTCAGGGAGAGAAGAGAGGCAGTGATTTGGCCAAAGCCAAACAGCATTACAGAGGGCAGGTCTTCCTCCATCCAGGCCAGGACTGTCTCCAGCATCATCTGGGCCCCACGAATTTAATTTCAGTGCCAAAGGAGACCATTCTGGGCGCCACCACAGCTCTTTATTCCCACTTCTGCTGCAGTTAATCCAACCACTTCTGCTGGGCCATTTCTGCACACTTTCAGGAACCTTGTCCGACCTGAAAGTGGGAAGAATGTGAAGCTCTAGAGCTCCCAAGAAGGGTGGTGGAGGTGGAGCTCCCCCAGGGAAGGAATGCTCTTTTACTCAGCCTCTCACAAGTTCAATGAGAACAACACTAAGATTCAGGCACGATTACTCAAATTAACTTGAGAGACTTCAGATTTTTGAAGCAACGTAGAAACCAGTCTGTTTATAATTACTGCCACCCACAGTGAGCACATCAAGAGAAACCTTTACTTTGTTAATTCCAGGAGGTGAAATCTCACCCCAGGAACCACTTTTATCTTCCACCAAACTCCTGCAGGTTGTAAAAGCAGTACAGGGAGTTTGGGAGTGGGGTGGTGGTTAAGGGAAGGTGGCTAGGACTCCAGAAGAGCTGTGAGTATGGAAATCTCATTTCTCAATTATCTGAGGCAGGAGCGTCTGTATAATTAGGGAATAGGGGAGTGCACCTGGAGAAGAGTCAGAAGGTTTTCAAACCGTGATATAGTTTCCTGGCGCTTCCTCACCAGGTTGAACAGACCTCATTAAGGGGAGGTGGAAAGAGGTCTGGCTCTCAGACCATGGCTTTCTTTTATTGTTCCTGCTGCCACTAAAACCAGTGAGGATATTGCTGGCCAGGCAGGGGCTGCCTTCTGCTTGCTGTAAGGGTCTCTAAGGGACAACAGTTGAGCTGGAGAAATTGGCTACAGGCTGTGAGGGTAGGGAGGGAATGACAGGGGTTAGAGCAGGGGTGGGCAAACTTTTTGACTCGAGGGCCACAATGGGTTCTTAAACTGGACCGGAGGGCCGGAACAAAAGCATGGATGGAGTGTTTGTGTAAACTAATATAAATTCAAAGTAAACATCATTACATAAAAGGGTATGGTCTTTTTTTTTTTTTTTTAGTTTTATTCATTTCAAACGGGCCGGATCCGGCCCGCGGGCCATAGTTTGCCCACGGCTGTTCTAGACGGTCTTTACCACATGACACATGAGCACACACTGGAGCCCCACCAATGTGAGCGTGGCACTACTCTATAAGACTCCAGCATGCCTGTGGGAGCCCTTCTTTATTGGGAAATAAATACAGTCAAACAGGTGGGCCAGCCAACATCTGTAGTTCTGGGGGCCAAGAGGAAGGCGTCTGACTTGCTCAGAACTCAGATCTCCATGAGCTGGTCATTCCCCACGATCACCTCATTTACTCGTTTGGCTACAAAAGAAAAGAAAAAGGTTGTTTGAGAACTGTCAGCAAAAGATGTCATCTTAAACCCAATTACTTTTCATTCTGTGTTCATAAACATCTATTCCTCTCCCAAGTGGCTCTGCTCTTGAGAATACAACTTGCCAAAGGAGGACAGCATCTTCCCCCACAGCAGGAGGGTCTGCTCCATGCACCTGGCTTTCAGGGAGACTGCACAGGAGGGCAAGGAGCAGGGTCTTAAAGGATGAATAGAGTTTTCTCAGGCAGTGTATCAAAGGGAAGGCACTCCAGGTCACTAGAACATGAGGGAAAACCTAAACATGTAGGAAAGGAAAACATGAAATACTGTGGCGTGGCCTGGGGATAGGGAATAGGGGAAAAGAGTGAGGAGAAATGAGACTAAATGGTTAAATGGAGATATCCAAAGGAAAAAGGGAGTTGCCTCATCTGTAATATGGAAATAATAGCATCAACTGTATAGGGTTGTTGCGAGGACTCAATGAGTTAAAGGATCATTGAGTGCTCCGTAAATAGTGGCCATTGTTATTTTCATAGAGTCCAAACCCACAAGCCCCTTCATGACAGGACTCTTGCTACCTCTTTAGCTCCATCTTCCACCATTCTCCTTTTGTACCTAAAGCCATACTATTTTATAGCTCTAGATCTCAGCACATGCTTCCAACATGCCTTACTTCCCCATCACACCCTTATCCCAAATGCCCTAATCAATCACCTTCACTATGTGATTAATGCCTTCCTGCCTGAGCTGTCCATTTTCTGCTTTGTGAGAACATCCTATCTAATACCTGTCTCTATCTCTATATCATTATTTCATTCTCCTCTACCTCACTGT